AAAGGCCCAATAAATGCCAAGTCACATAGAGGGTGTAGAAAAATGGAAACTCTCACAACAGCCACTGTGAGTGTAAATTGCTGTTAAGTCCTTTGGAAAGCAATTTGTTTAGAGAAATTGCTTAAAGCAACGCTTAAGAAAGCTACAGATATTTATACCTATAACCCAGGAGCTCTATCCACCTCTAGACAAGGTCTCACATGCCCTCAAGGAGAAAGGTACACAAATGGACAGCAGCACTCTGTGTAATATTGAAAAACTGAAAGCAACCAAATGTCCAGGGATTAATGAATTGTGGTATATGCATGCATTGAATTGAATACAGCAATTAAGTTAAATGACCCAGAGCCACATGTGTCAATATGGATGAATCTCAAAACATAAATTGAAAAGAAAATTGAATCTGTAATAGTTCATAAAAAATGAATAAAAAGAAAAGAAAAACATCATGTTAACTTTTGATAAACCAGGTGGTAGTCGCACAGGTGTTTATTGCATTTTTTTTAGGATTGCAATTGAGGGTGTTTTTTTTTTTTTTTTGCATTTTGGGGGTAAAATATGCATACAATTTACCATTTTAACCATTTAAGCGTCTAGTTCAGTGGCGTTAAGTACATTTACATTATTGTGCAACGATCACCACCAACCATATGCAGCACTGTTTCATTTTCCCAAACTAAAACTCCATATTCATATCCATTAATGCCTTACTCCCCCTTCCTTCCAGTCCCTGGCGACCATCATTCTACTTTCTGTCTCTGTGAGTTTGACTTTTCTGGAGATCTCACATAAGTGGAATTATACAGTATTTGTCCTCTTGTGACTGGTTTATTTCACTTAGCATAAAGTCTCCATCAGTGTTGCACCCTGACAGGATGTCCTTCCTTTTTAGGGCTGGATGATGTCCCACTGTATGCGTACACCACATTTTGTTCGTCCATTCATCTGTCAATAGACACTTGGGTTGCTTCCACCTTTTGCCTATTGTGAACGATACTGCTATGAACGTAGATGTGCAAATCTCTGTTCAAGTCCCTGTTTTCAATTCTTTTGGGTATGTACCCAGAAGTGGAATTGCTAGGTCATGTGAGAATTCTATTTTTGATTTTTTTGAGGAGCATTATTCTTTATCATGTGTTTGAAATGGTTCACAGTAAAACAATTAACTATCTTTTAAAGTGCTTCATGATGGGAAGAAGTTGGGTGGGTGAAACAAGTTTTTTGTATCATCTTGAAATAAATAGAATGCCCTTATATGCCTTCTGATACTCCTTAAGAAGTCAAAGTATTTAGTGGGTGTAGCAGTGGCTCCCCCACATCCAAGCCCCTAGAAGTTTAATCTACACCCGCACTGGTACTCAAGGTCCTCTTGCCAGTGATGACTTCATGAAGGCATAGGACCCACATCAGGCCAGTGAGATGGGAAAAGTAGTTGTGTGTGTGTGTGTGTGTGTGTAGGTGAGTTCTTCAGGAAACTCTTTACTCCTAAGTAAGACACTAGGAGAAGGAGGCCTTGTTTCTGGACATGGCCGGGTTATTTGTGATGGCTGGAAGCAATGCCGCCATCTTGCCGTCATCCTGAGGGTGGAGCTGCACAGGGGATGGCAGAGCTCAAGGGTGGGAGGGGCTTCAGCTCCAGTGTTGTGGAGGTTTCAGTTGCACAGTGGGTAATGCAGGTACAGGTACATGGAATAATTGTTCTATTACTTAAGCTGTTTGAAGGGAAGCTATTAATTGAGGTTGAAAGCATCTTCTTTGATTCAGAAAATAACTGCCAATTTAAAAAATTAAACAAGTTATATATTCTCATTATCAACACTGAAGAATACAGAGTAAAGTTAAAAGTTTTCCTTCACCGTCCCTCCCATCCTATTTTCCTCTGCTAGACCTTTTTTTTATTATTATTACATACATATAAAGTCTATATACATTACACACGTTTTTGTTTCAAGAAATTTTTGGCCATACTATATGTAAATCACGCTTAAATTTGCTCTTTCTTTTTTTTTTAACCTAAGAATATGTTTTGAAAAACATTTCATGTCAGGACTTAACCACCTACTTCATTTAAAATAGTGTTGTAGGGCCGCCCGAGTGGCGCAATAGTTAAGAACTGGCTTGGGACGCCAGAGGGCCCCGGTTCGGATCCCACATATGAGGGCCAGTGACACTGCTCTCCACAGCTAAGATGCTGAACAACAGCTCAACCTGGAGCTGGGCTGCCTTGAGTTGCTGGCGATGGCGTAGGCTGCAGCCCCTGTGGCAGTGGGTTGCCATGGGCTACCGTGTGTAGCCAGCAGCCAGAGTGAGCGGTCAGCAGCCGCAGTGAGTGGCCGTCCAGAAGCCGGCGACTGATCTGCGTCTCCCGGGAAGAGCGCAATGATGGTGCCAACTTGGGCCAGTGAAGCAACGTCCTCCACAACTAGACTGAAGAACAAAACGACAGCAACTTGTCTGTTCCCCTTCCCCCAATTCCCCAATAAAAATCTTAAAAAAAAAAAAGTATTGTATAGTATTCCACTGTATGGGAATACTCACATAGATTGTACTTTTCCTTTATCATTTAAACATGCCTCTTTGGACCCTGGTGAAAAGATTTTTGAAGAGTACATTCACTGAAGCAGAATCCCTGAGTGAAAGGATAAGTGTATTTTAAGTTTTAATAGATGTTGACTTGCCCAGAGAATGCCTGTGGAGTTTAGGTGCCTAAAGCATCAAAGGGGCAATCTGTGCCCAAGGTTCCCCCCCCCCCGCTCTCCTCCAGGTGCTACCCCAGGCGCGATGGCATGCATTTCTCCTGAATGAAGCCCTATGTGTCCATGGGAAGAATAAGAGAAATGAGAGGAGGAGACACCGGCCCTGCCTTCCGGGAAAAGGAAGCAGCGTCCAAGGCAGTTAGAGATGCACCAGGGATAATACTGAAAATATTAAATAACCTGTGTTAGGTAGACAAATCAGGATGGTGGCCCTGCCTTAGAGTCCCAGATGGGAGACTAGAAGCCCCCTGCTCAGCCAGACATTAACCCTTTAGTTGTTAGAGCTAAAGGTCTGGGGGTCCCAAGGAAGAAGCTGATGAATGCAGACAGGACCAGCCATACTAGTGCATATGGGCTGATGTTTGGGTGGCATTCCAAAGGGCTGTAAGGACCTGCAGAGTGGGGCCACAAGAAAGGTCCTAGGAGGAAGAGATTTTCTTGCAGAATCTGGGCTGGGAGCAAATTCAAGCAGCCCAGGGATCAGCTGGGTGAAGGCAAGCCCTGACGCACCACTTCCCTTCTCTGTGTAGTGTCCTGCTTTGGGATCCTCTTCTTCCTAATCTGCCCGAAGAAATACACATTGATCTGGGGCACATTTACTCAGTTTGAAAGAAACACTACACTGGTGATTTTTATATGAAAAGGCTCCATCAAATCTTCCTTGATTTCAATTTTGTTTGTGCAGTAGAGAAAGACAAGATTCCAAACTGACCTATTTTTCCTCCATATTGGGTTGAAAGGAACTTCAGACAGTGGAGCCAGCCCATGGAACACACACTCATGGCTTTTTACAACAGAACTTTTTAACCCGCCAGGACTCCCTGAAGTCCGGAAGGGCCCTGCCTACTACTGCCATGATGGTGGACGATCCGATAAACCAAGGCATTCAGGGACCCCCACATCAGGCCCCAAGAACCCTGATGAGGAGCTATAATATCATCACCCATAGACAGATCAGGAAAAAATAAGACCCAAAAAGGGAGAGCTGACTGAGGTCAAAGAGGCATTCAGTAGGGGCAAAACTAGAGCTGAGTGCTGTTTGTGGGGCACCGCTGTAGTGCTCTGATGGAGGAGCATGGTTTGACATGGGAACGCAGGAGGCTGCGGGGTGTGTGGGGGAGAATCCAGGGGTCCACAGCCAATTGTCCCTGCCTGCATAACTCAGGACCCAGGAATGTTTAATCCATTTAAAGGGAAACACTGGAGACTGAGAGGTCAAGAAGCCTCAGGAGACCTTCTTGATTCCCAGTTCAGGCCATCGGAGGCAGGCTCTCCTTTGCATGGAGAGGATGGGTGGGGAAGACGCCATTTTTGGCCTCTAGGTCCGAAGGTCGTTTGGCACCATCTCTCCTGCCTACTTCATTGCAGCAGAGCCAGGTGGTTTTTCCCCTCTTCTCTCAAGGCTCTTTGCTCTACACCCGCAGGCCTTCCGTAGCCTTTTGCACGGTGTCTGATTGGTGCTGTTAACACTGAGGTCCAGGGCCTCTCTTGGAATCATGAAGCAGAAACTCAAGGGGTGCTTCTTAAATCTGAAAGCCAGAGGAGGTCACCTGGGAACAAAGCCGTTTATTTTTCCTTTTAGCTCAGAGGATGAAGAGAGAGGGCATTGTCTTCCACAGAAAGACGCTGAAAGCTCCTTTTTTTACAGTCTCTCCTGAGCATGTCCAGCTGTTTAAAGTAAGGCCCGGGGTTTCCAGCACGTTGTGGAGTGCCGGCAGAACGTGAGCGCCATGGGGGAACCTGTGCTAGGGGGGGAGGCGCAGGGCTCCCCATCCGCAGCCGGAGAGGAGGCGAGGGAGGATCCATCGGTTTAAGGACCCATCACCTCGGGGCCCCGCACAGCCGCCGAAAGTATTCCCGTGGGGGATCTGGAAGTCCAGCTCACCTGGAGGGCGCTCGGTGTCCACGCCCAGAGGGCGCTGCAGACTGGAGCCCACAGTGGAGGACCAACCGCCTCCCTTCCCGCCCCGGGACAGCGCTTCAATGCCTTGGGGCAGGGCGGAGGGGGGTGCGCCCCTGCCCCCACCACCTGGGAGCAGCGGAGCTGAAACGCCGGGAACCACTGCCTACGCGGCCCAAGGCTCCGGGGACCAGAAAAGCTCTGCCGGGGCAGTGCGGGGGCGGTGCCGGAGAGCCGGGGGTGGGGCGATCTGAGGGGCCGGGCTGGGTGGCTCAGGGGGCGGGGTCCTGGGGGGTGGGGACTGGGGCTGGCCCGGAGACCTGGCGAGCTGGGGGTGGGGGGCTAGTTTTTGCAACGGCTAAGAGCCTGTAGGTTTATTATAAGGCGGAGCTCGGCGGGAGAGGTGCAGGCGGGAGCCGAGCCGGGAGAAATCCAGCAGTAAAGAGCTGACTGCAGCCGGCGGACCCCACAGCCCTTCCCCAGGACAGCCGTGCGCTGCGCACCCGGCGGAGCCGGCTCGGAGTCCCGCGCAGTCCGCGCAGCCCAGACTCGCGCAGCCCGCCGCGCCCCCGCCGCGGGTCCAGGCAGCATGAGGCGCGCGGCGCTCTGGCTCTGGCTCTGCGCGCTGGCGCTGCGCCTTCAGCCGGCCTTCTCGGTGAGTGCAGCTGGGGCCGGGCTGGGAGGCGGCGGGAAGCCGGGGCTTGCAGACCAGTTGAAGCCGGCGGCGGCACGTGGAGGGGGAGGGGAACAGGGGACTTTTCTTCCCGCGCTAGCCCGGCGACAGTGAACCCCGAAACCCAGGCTCCCTTCCCAATGCCTCTGCCGTCGGTGGGCGCCGCGCGGGTCCAGCTGCTCCAAGCTGGGGTTTGGGGGCTGGGGCGCCCGGCGGAGCGGAGCCTGTGCCCGGGCCCGGCGTTCAATTATGTAAAACGGCTCCACTGGGGTCGGAGCCCGCCAGCCTGCGGCAGCGCCGGGGGTCGTTGGCTCCCTCCTCGTCACCCCGGGCTCCCCGCCGGTGACCCTGGAGGATGCAGTCATCGCGGCCACTGCACCCCGCCTGCAGATCCTAATTTAAACCAGACCCGCGGAGCCCGGGCGCCCGGCCCCTTCGGCGGAGGCAAGTTTGGGCGCAGCGAAGCCCGCGCGGGAGCGGGCGGGCGCATTTGCCAAGGAGCGGGGGCCGGGGCTCCGCGGGGCCGCGGGGCCGGCGGGCGGAGGTGGGGCCCTCGGGCTTTCGGTCGGCTGTCGGGGGGGAGCTGGGCCGAGCTGGCAGCGGGAGGCTCTGGGAAGTTGGCCCCAGAACGCTGGAGAGCCGCAGAAACCCAACTTCTGGGCTGAAGTTGTGCCGCCAGCGGAGGGGCGCGTGTCGGTCCCGGGGGTGGCCGGCTGGGCGGGCGGCTTCCACGCAAGTGGACCCGGAATGGCCGTTCCCCTCCCCCGGCCCGGCTTTGTGCTGAAGCCGCGCGGAGGGAAGGCGGGTCCCTTGGCCCGCCCAGTGGAGCTGGGAGAAAGAGGGACAAACGTGGATGGAGCCCGAGGCCGGGCGAGGCCTTGGGGTAGGACCCCAGCAGACACCTTTGGCGAGGGGTGGGTCTCCTCTAAAGAGGGACCTGGCCGACAGAACGCATCCCGAGGGTCCTCAGAAAGTGATCTCCCGCCCCGGCCGCCGTTCGCTAACCCGCCTTCCCCAATGGGGGCGCTTTGTTCTCGGCCCCTGTAACCTATTCCTGGGAACCGCCCCGCAGTGCCGGCCCTGGCGTGGGCTGGGACCCGCGCCGCCGCCAGGTGTCAGCGCTGGCCGCTGGGTGCCCACGGCCACCTTCCAGCCCCCACCCCCGGTGCTAGAGTACGGAGGTCTCCTCCGCCTGCGGGGTCGGCCATCCCCTGGGATGGAGAGGGGAGGTTCGGAGCGAGGGGCTCTTCCCCTTCCGGAAGTGGCGGTTTCTCGCCACCACATCTGGAAGGCTGAACTTCCCGGGCTCTGGCACAGGGAGGCACGTGGGCAGAGAAGCAGCACCGGGCCGGGGGTAGGTCCTCCACTTGTAATGCGGCGTCTGGACAAGTCTCTCAGCCACTCCGACTCTCTGTAAGCGTGTCCCTCTAGAATAATAGTAGCTCCCAGTTATTGAGAGCATTGGGTGTTTTACAGGGTCTGACCCCAGGTGAGGTTTTTTTCCCAGGCTGATCTGTGAAGTGCCCTCTCTGCCTCCCAGGTAACTGTTCTTGAAAGCATTTATGTGTCCACGAGAGGGTCCCTGATGCCTCTTGAATTGCTGATGAGTTGGGGGGTTGTGTGTGTGTGTGTGTGTGTGTGGAGATGCCATATCTGGGGAATCATAGGGACAGATAGGATTTCTAAGCTGGGTCTCCAATGCAGCCCTAGCTTTCAGGTCTAAGAAGTTGGCGTTCGTCTTCTCCTTTGCTCTTTAGGGTTGTGGCTTCTGTAGGACTTAGCTTGTGCCTTGAGTCATAGTTAATACCCTGGAGAAGAGAGTGGAGGTGCTTGGCTTACATCCCTTGCCCACCTGGCCTCACCTGGCTGCTCCACTCTCTCCATACGCAGGATGGGGCCTCAGCAGGAATGCCGAGGTGCAGGTCACCTATTTCCAGTGAGAATCACAGGAATGGTGGTGGTGGTTTGTTTGCCTGCCTTGGGTGAGGCTGGCATGCCTGGACGCTCTGATCCCAGAGTGACAGTTCACATGGCGAGGCGGATGGGATTTGAGATTCTCTGTGGACTATGTTTCCCAGAGTTTCCTGTGTGCTGGGAAGGGGCAGATGCTGCAGCATGAGGCTTTTTTTCCTCACCTAAAAACTTGGAAACCTGATGGAGACACAAGGTCCAGGAGGCAGTTGAGTCTCAAGGGGGGAAACAGGGAGGAAGGGAAGCTCCTTAGAGCTGGGGTTGTGGGAGGGCTTCCTGGAGGGGATGGGTTGAGCTGAGCCTGGAAGCACTAAGCTTTGGGGTAATACTCTGGTTTGGAGCCTAGGTTTTCATTTTTCTTTTATAAAGTTGAGGGGTTTTGTTTGTTTGTTTGTTTTCCTTTTTCCCAGCCCTGCCCTTTTCCTCTTATAGTGGATGTCCAGGTTTGGTTAAAAGCGAGGGCATAAAATGGCATAAAATTCCTTCCCAGAGCTCTCCACACACCTCCTAAAAGAAACAAGGCAGTGGGGTTTGCCTAAAATGAGAAGGTGTGCACAGGTCGCAGAGATCTGGCTCTCTCAGGGTTCACTGGCCCCAGTGGTAAGCAGGTCAGAACCCCCTCTGGGGACGGGTGAGATGGGGCGTGATCCCCAGGCGCCTGACTTTGAATGGGCAAGGGGAGGCTGCTAGGGCCTGAGGCTGCTCAAAACCACTCCCAAGAGAAGAGAACAGGTTTGTCTAAAAAGGTTTCTGTGTGTGTGTGTCCTGTGGTCTTTTGTTTCTGCCATACGAGAAAAATGGTTTGTCCTGGGATAGTTATTTGCTGTTTTCCTCTTCTCTTTCTTGAAAGGCATAACATCTCTTTTTGCCTTAATTATGGGGGCTAGTAGAGACATTTCCCGATGGCCTGGCAGAGTGGGTGGGGGTGGGGGACGTGCTAACTGCCTCTGCTTCAGCTCAGAGCCTTCCAGAGGTGATGTCACTCCTGGCTTCGGCTCCACGGGGAGGGTGGAGCCAGTTTAAGTCTCTACCTGTGGCTCATGGTGGGTTCCAATAAAACCTCATTAACCCAGATTAGTGGGGAGAGGGATGAGAAAGGAGAGGGGCCTGGAAAGAATTAGTGAAAAGCTTTAATTTTGGAGTATTTTATAGAGGAATCTTCTATTGCAGCAGAATTTGGGATTCTGAAATCCCTTAGGAATGAAGTATACAGGTTTTTTCAGGGAGCTAAGAACCCATATTACCCTCAAAAGTATCCTTACTTTGGGCAGGGCTCTCTGAAATACTTATTTCCCTTCTTTTATTAACAGAAGACTACGAAGCGTAATTGACTCTCTGGATGCCAGGGTCCTCATTGTCACCGTGTTAGGTTACGATATGTCTCCTGGGTTTATTGAGCTCCAAAGAGCACTCTGACCCTGTGCCCGGTGCTCCCAGGTTACTACTACATTTCGAATTCTGGTGTGTTCTTTTTCTGCTTTCATCCCTGCCTGACAGCAGCCAAAAGTGACGTGGGTGTGCCTAAGTGTAGCTAGCAGCTTTTCAGCTCAGTTCTAATTGGCACTTTTCTCCAGCAGTACTAAGAAACGAATCAGATGTGTTAGAATTATTTCTAAGGCAAGAGTTTTCAGCTCTGAGTAAGGGTCTTGCCTGGGAGTAATGTTCATGATCTGTGATGTATGGATCTTATGCCTTCGCAGACCTCAGCTGGGACCTCTGCAGTGTCCCTGCTAGTACCCAGAATAACAGAGGCTGTGAAGGGCAGTGCTTCCCGGCTCCGTCTGTGAACAGATGTGAATGACCTCTGGGTGGAAGCACCCGATGAGTGCATGTTCCTCTACCTGGCTTGAGTTGTAAGTGACTTGCCAGTCACAGGTAGCCTAGACCCAGCCAGGCTAACTCCCTGGAATTCTGATTGGCCAGGGCCTCGTACTTAGCTTGGGTACCGTCTCCATCTGTTCACCATGTTTATTTGGATTGTAGTTCACCCGTCTCAGAGCACCCATACTGTTTAGCAGGCCAGAAACAGCTTTAGGGTAAGTACAGCCCCAGGACCAAGTCTCAACTCTGCCACTAAATTACGTTATTCTGGGCGAGTCCCTTCACTTACAGGTCTTGATGTCCTGTGTAAAGCACATAACATACCTGTTCTCCCTGTCCCCATTCTGTCATTTGCGTATTCGTTTCACAACGAATGCGTGACAGTGTTTGGTAAGGAAAGTGCCAGAGGAAAGTTAGCTGTCCATAAAAGTAGAGTTACGCCTACCATTGAGTGCTTGGTGCTTTTCCTACATTCTTAATTAATCTTGACCCCATACCTTTACGATCCATATCATGGCCCCTGTTTTGTGCATGAAGCCTGTAGAGCTGAGCCCCTCCAAGGGGCAGAACCAGCGTGTGTGTGTGTGTGTGTGTGTGTGTGTGTGTGTGTGTGTGTGTGTTACACACAGGTGTGCATGGCATGAATAAATTGACAGACTGTCAACTTTCCCCCATGAAGTCCTGTATCTGGGGCTGGCTGAACCCTGTGCAAGGCCCTCGTGAGTATTTGCTGTTCCATCCAGAAGAACCAGGGGTGTGTGTGTTTTGGATACAGCGGGTATTGGGGTGGGCTGAGCTGGCCTGAGCAGTGCCTTTAGGCAAACCCAGGATTTAGGCAACACCCTGGGCTTGGATTGGAGTCACCTTTTGGTCACTTAGGGGCAGGCGAGAGCTCCTCCCAGGAAGTCTCGGTCAGGAACCAGTGGGACTCACGAGGAGTGTGCATCAGGACTGGTGGGAAAAGGCCTGACGGGGGGCATACTGTCCCCAGGTTTGAATGGTACCCTTAGCCTTACCCCAAAGGCAGTAGCGAGCCTGAACTCTATTTCATCGTGGGCACTGAGGGAAACATTTCAAGAATTAGTCGTGGGAGGAGGGTGGGGATAAGGGAGAAGGGGAAGGGATAAGACAGCACAAATTGGTAACTTCAGTATTGCCACAGGGATAGGAAAGACAGTTTGGGGGATATA